TCAATTTTATTTATTCCACCTCATATTGATTTATTCCACTTCAGATTATATTTATTCCACTTCAGATTGTATTTATTCCACCTCCGATTATATTTATTTGACTTTAGATTTAATTTATTCCACCTCAGATTGTATTTATTCCACTCAGATTCAGTTATTTGCAGCCCTGTTGTCTGCTTTTTTACACTTTTTGATGCATGTTGCAGGTTTTTTTATTCACCAGACCAAATTCAGAACGAAGGCTGTTGATGAGAGGTTCCTGATTTGATCCCTACTGGTGCTAAAACCTGTTTCCTGTCAGGCTTTAGCAGGTCTGGGTCTTCATGGTGGTGTTTGTGTCTCACAGGCGGAGTCCGGCGGTGGGAACCCCCCAGGAGTACAACGCTGCCTATAGGCGGCCTGAGCAGGTAGGAGCCCCCCCAGGAGTAGGGATGGGGATCCAAACCCGGTTCTATCAAGGACCCGGTTCCACTTTTTTCAAAACCCGAAAATCAATACCGTTTGGGCTTATCGATACCACTATCGAGTCTGGTCGTTTTTTTTATTATTACAATAGTAATTGTGAAATCCGTGTTGTAATCGGCAGCATACAAGCTAGTTAGCTTGAAAAGTAAATCAAGTTTCAGACGTGTTCAGATTGGCTCAGTAAAACGACAATTAGGTTATGATGATGCGTTCAAGTGTAACGTAAAGAAAAGGGAAATTTTTTGTTTTTGGCGAGAAACATGAGTAATACAGTTGTATATTGCTCTAATTATTTTAGAATATATAATTAAACTACTGATGCCAACATTTATTAAAAATTTAATTTAAAATACAATTATTTATTTGCTAAATATTGTCGCATCGTCTTTCCACCAAATAACAGTATGGATAGTGGTATCGATAAAGACTCGGATCGATAAGGAGTATCGATAAAGGTATCGATATCGATAAATATTAACGATCCCCATCCCTACCCAGGAGGTGGAGGCCTCTCACCCTGACCTCTGACCTCTGACCCTGCCCCCCCCC